AATAATAACTTACGTTCATAGTGATCTCCTATGCATGAAACACTGATTACATTCGTCATTCACTCCTTTGCGGGTATTTGTATTGTAGGGATATTCTGAGGTTGCTGAAATTCTTGTACCCAAACCCTAAATTCAGACGCATCACAGGACTCGGCCACATTCATGTGACTTCCACCCTCTGAAGCGGTACTCCCAGCTCCTTTTTCTAAAACATTAACCATTTTTCTTGGAAATGACCATTGCTCCTTTCCCCCAAGGCTCACCCTCCCTGGGTTGGAGGTGAAAATAAGAGAAGTGAAGAGTCACCGGATCTTAGACCGGGAGTCCTGCCCCGCTGGGGTAAAGTAGGAATTCCTTAGGCGGAGGAGAAGCAGGGTTGTGGGGACTGGCAATTGGGTATGGCAGCAAGAAGAGAAAGTAAGATGCAGTGAACTTTTGAGAGTCTCTAAGACAGCTACTAGCCAAGGTTGAGAAAACGTGCAGTTGCTGTGTTGGGACCCTGCACACCCCAGCCGTGGGCCTGGCCCCCCAGCTGCACTACCGCCTCGCCCCGGCATCCCTGAAGACTCTATCCCCACCCCATTTCAGTTGTACCTATTATTGAATTTTATCATGCATTTCTTACAATCCTGTGTGTATTCCTTGGCCTTCCCTGCTGAAATATAAGTCCTTAAAGTTAGGAAGTATTATGAACATGGTAAGTATTTGTATCCCCAGCCCAAAAGGAACAACACTTAATATGTTCTAATTTTTTTTTTTAATAAATAAGTGTGTAGTAAAGTATTTAGCTTTGCCTAAAAAGAAGTGTTGACCTTTGGCCTCAGCTGCTGGGAGGTCATCTCTCAGCCCTTGGAAGGTCATGCTTGATAGAGATATGTTTTCCCCGGGGGCTTTGAGCCGGCCAGATGGTAATACTGTGATGAGGGGCAGGGGCTTTGGGCCACACACATCAGCTGGACCTCCAGAGGGGAAGGAGCCTGAGATTGGCCATACAGAAGTTCAGCCACCCTGACGTGATGGCCCTCAACGAGGCCTCTGGACATCAAGGCTGGGGGCTCCCCTAGCTGACAAGGGGATACGGGGAAAGTCACCCCATCCCAACTCCATGGGGAGGACAAAGGAAGCTCCACACTTACTACTTTCCTGGACTCTGTCCCCTACACCTGCTCCCTCCCTCTGTGGATCCCAATCTGTGTTCTTTTTCTGTAATAAAATGAAACTATGAACAAAACAATATTCAGTGAGTTCTTGGGTCCTTCTAGAGAATTATCAAAACTGGGGGTGGTCTTGGAGACCCCTGACTTACAGTTGGTGTCTGAGAGGAAGTAGTCTTGTGGGGACTGTCGCTCCAAACTCCACCGTTGGCTAACCTCGAAGCAAGTGATAGGAAAATCTAATTCAGAGTAATTATTCAGTCTTTACAAAGTCTTCCATCTGGTTATCCTCAGACATAGAAGAAAAACTGGAAAGGAAAAGTAGAATTAAATTGGTGTGTTGGTTTGAAGCTTTGATTCGGTTTTCATTTAAATTTAGGAATAGTCTTGGGCACCTGGGTGGCTCAGTCGTTGAGCATCTGCCTTCAGCTCAGGTCATGATCCCAGGGTCCTGGGATCAAGCCCCGCATCGGGCTCCCTGCTCGGCGGGAAGCCTGCTCCTCCCTCTCCCACTCCCCCTGCTTGTGTTCCTGCTCTCGCTGTGTCTCTCTCTGTCAAATAGATAAATAACAATCTTTAAAAATATAAAATCCTTAAATTTAGGAATAGGCTTTTAAATAAAGCATACACCATAAAAACTTCTCTGTGAGAACAGAGAAGCTTCCTTAATGGGAAGAGCATTGAAGAAATAGTAATAGTGATTGAAAATAGAGTTTCTGGGGTTAATAAGATTTAATGAGACAAGATCCCTGAGGGAGAAGCTCAAATATTATAACTTTAAAAGACAGGAAGTAAAGAACAATTCAGTGTTTTAGAAATAAGGAAGATAAGTGTGTACAAAGAAAAAGAAGCAGAATTTTAAGTTCTGTTATTTTTATTTCCTATATTTATAAAGGAAAACATGTAGTTATTAATGTTTGTGTTATCTATTGAGTTAGGATATCTATTATTTAGAAAGTTTTTGGTATAAGCTGAAATCTGCAGTTACGGGGTAGCTTTGAAAGTCTGTCAAAGTCCTCAGTGTGTCGTGAGAAACACATTTGAGCAGCTTGCATCCCCGAAGAGTTAGTTGCCAGCTTTTCTGCGTGTCCCCGTGTGCCGACAGCAGTCACAGGAATGAGGCAGGCGGCCTCCAGGCGGCCCTCACCTGGAGCTGGCCGTATTGTGCCCCCGAGGAGCCAGCCACAGGGAGGCTACACTGGCAAGTCCTCGTCCATAGAAGGCATCACTATGGGGGTGCCCACTGGGACATTCCCACAGTCTGGAGGTTTGGAAGACTCTCCAAAGGTCCCTTTTTAGGAAACAAATAGACAGGTGAACCTGCCTGATGCAGAGATGGGTAATATGTGGATTGGTGGTCCAGCTGGAAAGGAAAACTCTGAGTCAAATCACCTGAAATATCAGGTAAATCAATGGCCCTGGTGGGCTTTTAGAAACGTGGGCTTTTTCTGACGCAGGAGTGAACTGTGGCCAATCGGGAGGCAGCAGAACAATGTGGTCATGACCCGGGCATTGGTTGGAATCTGGGCTGGGAGGATCCTGCTCCTGCCATTTCCTGGCCTGTGACCTTGAGCAAATTACCGAACCTCTCTGGGCCTGCTCTTCTTCATCCATAACATAGAGCTTAAAATTGTACCTACTTCATTTCATTGCTGTGTGGTTCACCGTGATGACATGGGTGAGTGTGTGGTGGTGCTGGACACCAGACAAACATGCAGCAAACCTTAGTGGCTATTATTGCTGAGACATTTCTAGGTCTAAAGTCAGGTCTCAGAAGGGAAGACATCAGAGCATCCTAGAACTGATGATTGGCACAACAGCGAAGCACTATGTTGGGAGCAAAAGGAATTTTGTTGAAATCACATGGAGATTAACAATGACAACTGCAAATGGATCTGGCACCCATGGTGCCCCAGGTGTGGTGGGAAGGACTTTACCTGTAGGACCTCCGACGCTCATCATGACCCTGCAAGGAGGTGCTCTCATCTTCATTTCTCACTCAACAGGCTGGTACACAGATGTTCCTTTGCCTCCCCCAAATCACACTGCTGCTAAGTGGAGAAACCAGAGTTAGAATGAAAATATTTTTGACTCCAGAGTTCAAACCACACTAAACAGAACCAAGATAAGTGAGGCTCAACAGTGGGTCAGGACCCAGGTGAGTGAGGGTCAACAGTGGGTCAGGACCCAGGTGAGTGAGGCTCAACAGTGGGTCAGGACCCAGGTGAGTGAAGGTGAACAGTGGGTCAGGACCCAGATGAGTCAAGGTCAACAGTGGGTCAAAACCCAGATGAGTCAAGGTCAACAGTGTGTCAGGACCCAGGTGAGTGAGGCTCAACAGTGGGTCAGGACCCAGATGAGTCAGGGTCAACAGTAGGTCAGGGCCCAGGTGAGTGAGGCTCAACAGTGGGTCAGGACTCAGGTGAGTCAGGGTCAATAGTAGGTCAGGGCCCAGGTGAGTAAGGCTCAACAGTGGGTCAGGACCCAGGTGAGTGAGGCTCAACAGTGGGTCAGGACTCAGATGAGTCAGGGTCAACAGTGGGTCAGGGCCCAGGTGAGTGAGGCTCAACAGTGGGTCAGGACCCAGGTGAGTGAGGCTCAACAGTGGGTCAAGACCCAGGTGAGTGAAGGTCAACAGTGGGTCAGGGCCCAGGTGAGTGAGGCTCAACAGTGGGTCAGGACCCAGGTGAGTGAGGCTCAACAGTGGGTCAGGACCCAGGTGAGTGAGGCTCAACAGTGGGTCAGGACCCAGGTGAGTGAGGTTCAACAGTGGGTCAAGACCCAGGTGAGTGAGGCTCAACAGTGGGTCAGGACTCAGATGAGTCAGGGTCAACAGTGGGTCAGGGCCCAGGTGAGTGAGGCTCAACAGTGGGTCAGGACTCAGATGAGTCAGGGTCAACAGTGGGTCAGGGCCCAGGTGAGTGAGGCTCAACAGTGGGTCAGGACCCAGGTAAGTCAAAGTCGAGAATGGGCCAGGACCCAGGTGAGTCAGGGTCAAGAATGGGCCAGAACCAAGGTCAAGCATGGTCCACAATGGGAAGGGATGACTGGATTCATTTAATATCTCATGACCCTGACTTTCTGGTGGAATCTATGCATCTTGAACAGCCATCAATTTTATTTTGTTCTCAGGGCCAACGGAGGCCCACAGGTCTAGATCCTAATCCAGGTCGTGTAGGAGGGAGGGGAAGGCTCCTCGGCAGAAAATAAAATTTGACAAAATAAGAGGACAATCGAAAATGGTCAACCGTGAGGGAGATGACTGGGCCACCAGAGCGTCCTCTGTGATGTCAGGGATCAGATCTGAGTGCCCGTGTGTGAAATGGAGCCCCGTGCAGGAGAGGCTCAGTAAGTGTCCTTCCTCCAGAAGAGGAGCGCTTCCGCACGAGGCAAACTCAAACTAGAGAAGACTTTGGTTTGCATCATTATTTTAACTGTGTAAAGACAAGACGTCCTGGTGTGATGAAGCCGCTCAGGCTCCGTGGCCAGTAGCCACGGACGCGCACCTGTGCCCACCCAGACATTCAGGACATGGTCGTTCCAGCGAAAAGCCGGATGATGTGAAGTGAAACACAGTTTCCCCTTTTCAGGGCAAAACAAAACAGAACAAAACTGCCAGGGTTTTTTCCCTCCCCCCCCATCCTCTTTCCCCAAACAAATTTTAGTTTGCTTTTGACTTTATTCTGATGCTGGTTCAGTACTTTTTCTTACTGAGAAAATGCAGAACTCAGAGATCCTGTGGCAGGAAAAAGCCCTTGTCTTTCACTTTGTGGGAAGGAGCATCCCCCGAAGCCCCGGCTCTCTGCGCTCTGCTACTTTAAAGTGGAGTCCGCCAGGATCGGCAACATGCCCCCCGCCAACTGCTCGGCGCCCAGCGTCGTGGTGGAGATGTCCGTGGCCACCCTGCTCCTGCTGGAGGGCGGCCTGGGCCTTCTGGGCAACGCCGTGGCACTGTGGACCTTCTTCTTCCGCCTGCAGGTGTGGAAACCCTACGCCGTCTACCTGCTCAACCTCGTCGTGGCCGACCTCCTGCTGACCTTCTGCCTGCCCTTCCATGCCGCTTTCTACCTGAAACACAAGACGTGGAGCTTTGGACATGCATCTTGCCAAAGCCTGTTCTTCCTGCAGGTCCTCAGCCGCGGGGTGGGCATCGCCTTCCTCACGGCCGTGGCTTTAGACCGTTACTTCCGAGTGGTCCACCCTCGGCTGAAGGTCAGCCTCACGTCCCCCCGGGCGGCCTGGGGAGTGTCCGGCTTCGTGTGGTTACTGATGCTCGGCCTCACCCACCAGAGCCTGTTCGTCTCGGAGGCCACATGCCCAGGTCTGGAGCCCGCAGGAGAAGTCTCCTTCAGCATCGTTTGGCAGGAAGCACTGTTCTTCCTGCAGTTTGTCCTTCCCTTTGGCCTCATCCTGTTCTGCAATGCCAGGATCATCAGGACCCTCCAGAGGCTACTCCGAGACCCGGACAAACAGCCCAAGCTGCAGAGGGCCCGGGCACTGGTGACGGTGGTCGTGGTCCTGTTCGCAGTGTGCTTTCTGCCCAGCTTCCTGGCCCAGATCTTGGTGGCCGCCTTCCGCAGGGCGGGCAGCTGCGGGTTCCTGGGAGCGATGGTGCATGTGTGTGACATGACCAACGGCCTCACCTACCTGCAGAGCGTGCTGAACCCGGTGGTGTACTGCTTCTCCAGCCCCGCGTTCAGATACTCCTACCGCAAGGTCTTCAACACCCTCAGAGGCCGAGGGAAGGAAACCGAGGCCCCGGGGGACATCAAAGACTCCTACTCTTGAGGCCAGCCAGCCCGCCGGGCCCCGGGGCACAGGAAGGGCAGCGGTCTGAGCGCTAAAGACCACCCCTGAGGGCTGCGGGGAGAGGACACGCTGGGGCTGCGCCGCAAGGATCAGGACCCCCACGTCGGCACACCTGCGGCCAGTGCTCTTACACACGCGGTCTTCGGGATTTCCTTCAGCTATTCTGCATGATCGGACGGAGCAGATTAGCAAGCCAGAGTCTGCTTTCCACCCACGACGAGGCCGACTGAGCAGCTGACCTGGAAGCTGGCAGCTACTGCGCTCTCATGGAATGTGTTCTCACGGGTCCGTCACGGGAGGATGAAGGCAGAGAGAGGCACCACTCTTGCTGCGTCTGGTCTTGGTGAGTCGTCTGCTTTCACTCTCCGGAGATTCTGCTCTCTCCACCTGCTGCACATGCTTGTGATGACTGGCCCCGGAAAGTGGCGTGCGGGACTGCAAGGCCACGTTCGGGGGGCGTACCTTACTGAGTTCCATGCTCAGCTCTGCCTGGCACATAGTGTTTCCAGTTTATAACATTTTGCTTGATTTGCATGGATGGTGCATGATGTCAAAGACAACACTGTTCCCTAGTTCATTATAAGAAACACGTTCCTACTAAATTTCTCAAAATTGCCACCAGAACTTCTCTCTCGAGTTTGAATGTCTAAATGCTTTTGAAACTCACTTTGCTTCCCTGCTCTGAGAAGTCACTGTAGTTAATGCCCCGGGAGGCCACACAGAGCCGGTGGGCCCACCTGAGCCCAGCCCCCAGTGCTCCTGCAACAGCCCAATGGTCTCATGTCATGCTCTTAAATTATGCCCCACGTCTGGAGCTCACGATGGTGACAACATAGTTTGGAGGTTTCCTACCTGACTGCTTTGTCTTGTTCTCTTCAAACCTGGTGCTATGGTCCCCAAAAGGGACTCCCCAAAATGTGTAGAGGAGGCACAGGGTCTAGTTTGTGAGGAGGCCCACACCTGTGGCCTGGAGATGCACCTGCCTTGTCCACACGGACAGACCACTGCTCTTCCCCGGGCCGTCCCATGATCTTGGTAATATTCAGGGTGAAAAGTGGTGACCTTAGGCCAGAGGAAACGGCAATCCTCCCTTCTGGATCGTTCGCCTACCGGGTAGGCTCCTTCTCGGACCCAAGTTTAAAATGTGAGTGTGTTCCTGTTCCTGTGCTCTGCCTAACATGGTTCCCAGAGGATGGCAGATGCACTCAGCGATCCGAGGCCACTGTTAGCAGGTTTCGTGTCCTCTAGAGGGAGTGGAATTTCAGGCGGCTGGTACGGAGCTGTGACCAGACAATAATGTGGGAGGTCCGAATAAAATTCTCTGCCCTGGACACAGTCTACACCGCGCCTGTCTTCTTGCCGTGGGCTCACTGCACGTGCCATTGCACACGATGCTGCTTTTAAAAAATCTAACATTTAACATAAATTTAATTAAACATAACATTTTCCACCTCATGATAAACTCTCCACAGTCTTTCTTTACTTGATCCCTCAATAATCTGTCCAGATGTTTCTTAACCATTTCCCTGAGGCTGAACACTGAGCTCTGCAGCCATCCCCACAGGTAAATCGGGCTGTGAAGTCACACAGCCCCTCAACAGACCTCAGGCCTGGGAAGCCGGCCCATACCAGCCGCCCGAACAGGCTCCAGCCCGGCGCCAGGCTCTGCGGAACCTTCCCAGCAGGGCTGTCTCAGGGCTCCTTGCTGGGTGAGCCAGCCTTGTCCAGGAGCTCAGCAGCCGGCCGCACTTCCCACCGATCCCTGCCCGTTAGCCTGGCGACCGGGGGTCTCATCCCAGCAGAGCCCCGGCCCTCCTCTCTGCTCCTGCCGCCCGGCAGGTGGGGGACCCAGGATCTTTCAGAACACCCTGAGGCCTTGGCCAAGCCCGATGTTCTGACTTGGTCATCTGGGGGGTCCCAGGGCACCAGGGTTTTTGAAGCCCCCTTTTTAATCCTGTGAATGCACAGCCAGAGCTCTCTGCCCAGGGTGAGTGGCCACGGTCAGGGCCCTTGTGTCAGCTTCCTGCTCTGTCACTTCCTAGCTTTGTGACCCGGGACAAACCACCCAACTGCTCTGAACTTCCCTCGTCTGGTGAAATGGGGGTAACAGACCCCACTGTGGGATTATTGCACGGTTTAGGGAAAATAATACATGAGATATTGAGCACGGAGCCTGGCACAACATCAGCACCTAGTAGGTATTACTCTGCTGTTCTCAGGTGGTCGGTCTTTTCCACCCACTTTGTTTCCATCCCCGAGCAGACTGTGCGCCCTTCAGGGGGACACGGCGGTTTACCCGTGTACCCCCAACACGGGGCCGGGTGCGGGACAGGCGGTCAGTGAACTGGAGGTCGCAACATTCTGCTGACTCAAAGGTTTGCTAGGATTCTTTCTTCCCAGGAAATACTTTCCAGATCTATGAGCATTCAGTCGGCCTCGAGTTTCATTCTGCACATCTGTGGAAAGGGACACTGTTTCTGTAGTTGGCAGGTCCCGGGTCCAGCGACCCCTCGCCTCTGAGGACACTTCTCTGGCACCGTGTCCCGTCACTCCCATCACAGAAGCCCCGCGAGTTCTGCATCAGACGGTTGTCTTCTTTGAAGACATACCGGGGAGGAAGGGGGTTCTTGTCCTTCTCCAAACTATTTTCTCTGAGTAAGGAAATGAGTCAGAAGGAAAGTGTGGGCAGGCAGCAAAGGATGGGCCTCAGAACCACAGCAACTTTGCTGTCAGTAGCAAGTTTTACTTTCTTTTCTCCTTTGACTCGCTTCTTATAATGCAGCAGGTGCACGGTCTCATCTGCCAGTCTTGCAAATCTCAGCGTTGTCTGGAAGGACAACCAAGAGCCTGAATTTCACTCTGAGTGATGAATTTCTTTCCCTATTCAGAGGAGACTGTCAGTGTTTTTAAATTCTGTTAATGTTGTCATTTTTTCCCCCAAAATCCAGTAGGCCCCTGATTCCTCCTTGGCTAAATCTAAATCCTCCAAGTGCTGGGCATCGTGCACAGAACATTCAAATCTCTGTCTTATAACTTCCTACCCACCCTTTCTGGTCTAGCCCCTGAGACCAGCCCCTTCATAAAGCCCCCTGACAACACCCCCCAGCACCCCAACGCACTCCCCCCGCCCTGCAGGCCAAACTCTGGTGCTCACACCTGCTTTCCCCTATGCGACCCCTCCCTGAAGCTTGGAAAGTGTCCATGTATCTTTGTGTCCCCAGTGCTGCGCACAGGGCCTGGCACACAGCAGACACGGACTACATTTGTGGAATCAATAATAAATACATGAACAAATTAATCTGATTTAAAGTTAGCCAATTAACTTTATTAATCACATAATAGGTTTTTTAAAAATATACTTTGAAATTCTGGATCCAGAGGCACAGTTAAAATATCTTTTTTTTCCCCTAATTTTATTTTATTTTATTATGTTATGTTAGTCACCATACATTACATCATTAGTTTTTGATGCAGTGTTCCATGATTCATTGTTTGTGCATAACACCCAGTGCTCCACGCTGAATGTGCCCTCCTTAATACCCATCACCAGGCTAACCTGTACCCCCACCCCCTCCCCTCCAGAACCCTCAGTTTTTTTCTCAGAGTCCATCGTCTTTCATGGTTTGTCTCCCCCTCCGAATTCTCCCCCTTCATTTTCCCTTCCTTCTCCTAATGTCTTCCATGCTATTCCTTATTATCATATTATCATATTTTCCTAGGAAGATAAGAATACAAATGAAAATATGATAATCTTTCATATTTATCGGAGAAAGCTTTTCCTCTATATTTTCACAGTCTCTTCTGCCACTAATCGAGTCAACAATTTTGATTTATTTAGGGGTCAGGATAATGAGCCAACTGCGTATCGGCCTGTGGGCTGGGTCAGGGGCCGTGAAGGGCGTCAGCGACTCTCAGAGGCTTCCGGAACACACCGCTAGTGTTCATGGACCCGCCAAGCACTGCCATCCTTGGATTGTCTCCCTTCTTACATTGTGGTAAAATACACATCACGTAAGATTTGCCATCTTAACCGTGTTTCCTGCACAGTCCGGTGGCAGGAAGTACATTCCTGTGGTGCAGCCATCACCACCGTCCATCTCTAGAACTTTCCATCTTCCCCAACTGGAGCTCTGACCCGTCCAACACTAAGCCCCACCCCTGCCCCGGCCGTGCTGCGCACCCGGCTGTTTCTGTCTCTGGGGATGGGACAGCCGCAGAGACCTCATGCGAGTGGGTTGTGCAGTGTCTGTACTTCTGTAGCTGGCTTACCTCTCCCCTCCCCCGCACCTGTCCCCCTGCCCGTGGGGCGTCCATCTCCTGCCCTCCCAGGCCGGGCCCCAGGGATGCCCTTCTCCCAGAGGCTGCAGCCCCTCCGGCACAACCCTGTCCGCTCCCCCCTTCCTTCATACAGGTGGTGTGAGGGTGTAGACGGTCTACACTCCACACAGTGTGTGCTGTGCTTCCATAACACACTGCAGCCCAAAATAGTAGATGCACCAATGGAGTCTCAATAGTAAGTCATTTTCGTTTGCAAAACCTGTGGGGTAAGCAAGGAAGGTACTATTTCCCCCTTTTCAGGTGAACAAGCTGGCGCTCTGCGGGGTCAGGGGTATGGTGGGGGCCGCAGGTCACTGGTGACAAGACAGTGACGCGGGCCCGGGCCCGGGCCGAACCGCTCAGGGTCTCTCCAGGACGCTCTCGGCCTTGTGCCTTTCTCTTGGGTTTTCACTGCTTACTTATATTTTGATTTTCCTCATATCCAGTGGCGTCCCAGTAACTGGCCATCTGGGAGAAAAGATGAAAAGATTTGCTAAGCACTGCAGGGGCGGGGTTCACGCCCACCGTGGCAGGCTCACCGATTCCAGAACATTCCACAGCTGAGTCGCCAGCCTGGCACCGCTGTAACCCCTCGTGTCTGGTGTCGGTCCCTGCGAACTGCAGTCCTCTACCCTCCCCAGGTGCCCCCCGCAGGCAGGGCC